GAAATCATCATGATGCCCTGTGGTTAAGGTCTGGTTAGGTTTAGGCACAAAAACCACTTGGTTAGGGTCAGGAAAAGATCATGGTGTGGGTTAAAATGAAAAAGAAAGTGGCAAACACATAAGCCGTGAGCCTGCTTCGCCTCAAGCCTTTCCCAGCTGACCCAGAGCCGGTCGCGGCGCACCATCAAGGTAGAAATACGCCCGCCGGGAGCCGTTCAGCACCGCGGAGAGCTCCCCACACAACCCGAACCCCAGAGTTAATAACAGGAGGTGTTTCACTCTCTCCTCTCTATGACACTTGTATCTCGACCAGTAGCCTACTTTTGTTGTGTTTGCTGATCCTCTATGGTACACAAATACAGTATAGCCTAGTGTAATCACATATCAGAACAATGGGACGTCGGACTAATGGGATGTCGGAAGAAACAGTACTGCTGTCTTTTATACTGGTTGTTTTTACCTGTTGTTTTTATAGAGACTCATTTCTGTGTTTCCAGCAGCTTTTCAGCCAACAAACACGGGCATTTTTTCAGTGATTTCTGGCTGAAATAGTGCCATGAAAAGAGGCTATTTCTTACTGCGACACTGCTGTGTTTCCTGTCGAGATAGTGCCACAAAAAGTTGCTGTTTTTAACCAAGGCATCTCTGTGTTTCCAGATGGGACTGTCCACCAAAAGCAGGTAATTTAAGCCAAAAAAGATCATCTCCTAACCATTACCAAGTGATTTTTGTGCCTAAACAACGTTTACTAAACTTCCAAAGGAGGTGGGGGGAAGCGGCAGAGAGACATCCACACCCACTTAGGAAAGAAAGTATACACCACTTTGTTCCATTGGCGCAGCTTGTAGTTGAGTATCTTCTGTTAGTATCTTTGTCTTTCCACATTACTCATATTACTTTGATAGAAAAGCTGGCATCGCTGGGGAGAGGGACGTCTGAGGTGCTCAGCGAAGTAAGTACGAGTACTTTTTCTGTGACTGTGAGATAGTTATGTGCAGTGTTGTGCACATTCACACTTGACAAGCGCCAGCTCAAAATCACTCCACACAGAATAAAATGAAGTAGTTCACGTTTATTTCTTCCTTTTTTAAAAAAAAATAAAACAAAAATCTTGCAATCATTAATTTGCAGATATCTCAGGTCAGCCGCCTCAACTCAATTTGTCATTTCAAATCGGTTGCTGATGTGGCTGATGTTCAAACTTGTTTTCTCACTGGGCACAATTTGCATTTAAATGTGAGATTTTTTTCTGTTGCAATCTGTTTTGGTCTATTCAAAAACTTCCTTCAAGTAGTCAACTCAACAGTACAGTAGCTGCATCAATCTGAAGTGCCGTAATAGCATTAGCCAACAGGAGGAAAACACACATACAACACTGTTGTTGGGTTGTGTCGGCATGCCAAGTGCCATAAATCCTTGGGTTCTGTTAAACGAGCGCCGTTAATTGTCGTGAAAGTAGCGTCACTCATGTTCATGTTGCAGCGTGATGCGTTCACTTTCACTGTTCACCAAAAATATGAGCATGTACAATGAATTTGCTCTTTTTGTGCGCTCATGGTGACTGATCAGAATGTGCCAGCTGTTAATTTGGTGAACACAGTGTTATTATAACTGACAGGAGTAACAGACAAAACCACCCAAACAAGACATCATAATAAATTAAAAATCACCAGCAGCCCGTCCACAGTTCCTCCCTCACACAAACAGAAACCTCCACAGAAAGACACATACTTCTTTCGCTCTCTGTGACAGTGGATCTGTGAAATTAACGTCTCAGCACATACGAGGAGGAGTGTGAGGTTTAATACTCAGCGTGATGTTTTGTGATTATTAAAGTTATGTGAAAGCAGACGGATCATCAGACTGCAGCAGCTCCCACTGAGCTCCGAATAATGAATCTGGGGGAAAGAAAACAGGAGGAAATAAAAACCCTGCGACCATATTTGGTGTTTAATAACGAGCAAGAGGATTCCCTGATGACGGAGTCAGCACTCACACTTCCTGCTGACAAAGGCCTTCGCCCGCCGGGAGGTCGACGGAACCTGGACTGCCGTAAGAGAGGATGATGAGGAGGAAGATGGAATGAAGAGAAGAAATAAACAAAGGGTTAATGAGGGAGCGATGATGAGATGGAGGGAAAGCAACAGCTGGAGAACAAAAACAAAGACGCTGAAGAGTTTCGGGAGGCCTAATCACGTTTTGTATCATCTTCTTTTCTTTTTGAATCATCCTTCATGTCTTCTCTCACGTCTTTGTCTGACATGCTCGACTTTTTCCTGCATTTTCCGCCTTGTGCTTCACCGTCACTGTTCATATCACACCTCAGAAACTTCATGACTCCAGTCAGTCGCCTCCTCAATTAAAATGTCAGTGATGTTGGAATTTGTATTCAGCTCACATGACCAGATGTGCATGAAGATGGTGCACGAGGGCCCCACGTCCTCTACAGGGACCTGTGCTCACAGCCCAGCACCGTGCAGCTCCATCATTCACCAGAGAACACCAGGACTGGCAGGTCCACCACTGGCGCCCCGTTCTCTTCACAGATGAGAGCAGGTTCACACTGAGCACATGTGACAGGCGTGAAAGAGTCTGGAGATGCCGTGGTGAACGTTAAGCTGCCTGTGACATCATCCAGCATGACAGGTTTGGTGGTGGGTCAGTGATGGTCTGGGGAGGCAGATCCTTGGAGGGTCACACAGACCTCCATGTCAGAGCCAACAGTACCCTGACTGCAGAGGGCCCTGGGTTCCTCCTGGTGCAGAGGGCCCTGGGTTCCTCCTGGTGCAGAGGGCCCTGGGTTCCTCCTGGTGCAGAGGACCCTGGGTTCCTCCTGGTGCAGGACCCGGCCTCATGTGTCCGGAGTGTGTAGGCAGTTCCTGGATGATGAAGGCATTGATGCCATTGACTGGCCCTCTTGTTCCTCTGACCTAAATCCAATTGAGCACCTATGGGACATTATGTATCGGTGCATTCGATGCTGCCAAGTACCACCACAGTCTGTCCAGGAGCTCACTGCTGCCCTGATCCAGGTCTGGGAGGAGATCCCCCAGGACACCATCCACCGACTCATCAGGAGCCCAGACGTTGTCAGGAGGTCATGCAGGCAGGAGGGGGCCGTACACACTCACACGCCCTCAGTGGGTTGATGATTTTGGTTTCCACTGACTGCTGTTAACGTCATTTTGTTCTCAGCAAATTATACATTGAACATCAGTAAAGATTTTTCGACTTCATTCATCTATCAAGATCTGATGTGTGATTTAAGCATTCCCTTTTTTTTGAGCAGTGTATAACGGTTGAACAGTCACAGGGGACAGTGTTCTACTTGTAATACTAAGTATATTTTCTTTCTAATACTTTCTACTTTTACTTAAGTAACATTTTTCAACGCAGGACTTTTACTTGTAACAGAGTGTGTTTACAGTGTGGTATTAGGACTTTTACTGAAGTAAAGGATCTGAATACTTCCTGCACCAATACAGAAGAGTGTGGAGACACTTTTCTTTCAGAGAACTTGTTTGTACTTTAACAGAAAACGACACAGAGGTGTTGACTGTGGAGGCGGTGATTAATCAAACTCACAGCCAACCAACTGGTTTCATCACAAGTCATACAGATTTGCTATTAGAGCTGTATCGACATGTAAATGTTTTACTTGGACCCTGATTCTGATTAGTTTAGGTGACCCATCAGATGTTTATGTGGTGGGGGCTTTAAACAGCTTCTTTATGTTTTTTAACCTTTATCTTTTCAGGGGAGACTCTCCTGACAGCAGAGTTTTGTTTTTCATAAGGTGTTGATCACACTTGAAACTGTCCGGTACAAAAGCAGTCTGATCTGTTGGCTGCTGAGTAGATCTACATGCAGTTCAGTGGTTCTTTTTTTGTTTTTTGCATCTCTATAGAGGCTTTATACTGGCCTGACTGGATGATTTCTGGGGTTTAAAACGCAGATAATAACGACATAAACAGGAACCGTTTATTTCCTGTAACACTCTAAAGCAGCACGTTTGGTATTAAAGTTTTATCCCAAACATGAAATTTTGGGGGTAAGCAGTCCATCACGTTCATTTTTTAACTCTTTAACTATGAGCTCTGGTCAAACAGTTGCACTAAAATGAATGTTAATGAGTTGGAAAACACTTCACATGTGAGGGCGGATGATGTTGCTGAAGCAGCTCTTACCGTTGAAGCTAACAGCACGGATGTGGGCCAGCAGCTCCTTGCCGTCGATATTGGCCATGCGCGGGCAGAGGCCGGGGTATCCGGCGCAGAGCTCGCGGTGCATGTGGTGCAGAGCGTGGGCCATGGCGTACACGGCGTCCATCACAAACTGAACCTTCCCCTCCTGCTCGTAGGTGGAGTCACGGCCGACTTTCTCCAATCCTGAAACAGAGACAGAGAGGCGATTGATCGGTGAGAGTCGAGAATGAAATTTTAAAGTCAACTTTAAAGTCTGAACATGAATAAGAAGCTCTTAAAGGGATCCAGATGGTTTTGGTGTGAGTTGCAGAGTGTTTGAGGTATCAGCCGCTCTCCAATATAATGGAACTGGATTGCACTCTGCTTGTGGTGCTCAAAGCGCCAAAAAAATACCCACCAACTGTATCACCGCACAGAAGGAAGCGTGCATCTACTCATGGACAAGAGGCTCATGCTCATGACAGATGTTCACAACATGATGCTGATGATGCTCACAACAAGGTCTGTGATTACCATGAGTAACTGGGTCATGATTTCTGGAAAGAGACATCACTGTTGAGTCTTTCAAATGTTTTATTTTGGCGGTTTGAGCACCACAAGCTGAGTGCCATCTAGTTTCATTATACTGGAGAGGAGGCAGACATCTCTATGGCTGATGTCTTCAAGATTTGACAGCTCACACCAAAACAATCCAGGCTGATAAGTAGCTCTACAGGTAAGAGGAAAATGATGTCTCTTTAAAGTGCTCAGAATAAAAAAGAAATTTGAATATCTAAGTCAGTGTTTACTGGGCAACTCCATTTGCTGATGAAGATCTTCGGGGGCGACAAACTTTCCATTATTTTTTTCCTTTGTGTGCATGTCCTCTCTAAATTCAGTTTTTGTGTGTCCATGAACGCAACACGAAACTCATACGTTCTTTTTTCCTCAGCAGCAGTTTGTGGAGTTTTGAGTCGTGGGCTGGATAATTGATCAATCGCAATGATCAGAGCTGATCATATCAATCTGACAATCTGAACAGTAGCTGTTGAGATTAAAGTGATCGACAGACTGATTAATCATCATCTCTGGGCTCGTCCTCAAATATGACAGAAAACATCAAACACTGAGATTGTAAAGCAGAAAGAACAACGAGGCCTGTCAACAAACTTTACCAATTTCTGTCTGAGATCTTTCCGCCTCTTTGTGTTTCCTTTTCTTTTTAAAACCAAAGGTTTCAGAGTTCGTCCTTGCCGCCGGGCAGAGAGCAACTCACAAAGGATTATGGGAATGTGAAATGAGACACGTTTCCTATAAACCGTTAACATAAAAAAAATACATTTGGCTCCATCTCATTAGCCGTGATTAAATAACAGAGTGGAGAAGACAACGTCATCTTTTATTTGAAAATTCTGTAAAGTCCTTCTAAAAATTTTCTCTGAGTAATTAGCGTTATTAGAGCCGCGGCGCTCTGCGATCATGCCGCCGGCTGGAAAGCACTGAAGGAAGCGAAGGAGAGGAGAAGGAAACTAACTGCCGGACTGGACCCTCCATCAACAGACAAGACTTCTCTGAATTAATAGGAGCTTAGAAATGAAATCCAATTTAATTTTAATAGCAGGCGGGCGGCGGGGGATCTGTCCAAGGGGAGACATTTGCTCCGGCAGTAAAGACTGATTACACGTCTGTACAGTGGTAATAAATGAGCCTCGAACGGCGAGGATGTCAAACAGCCGAGGCAGAGAGGAGATGTACGGCCGGGCTGCAGATGATCGCTGCTCCCTGCAGATGATGAGGCTCCTCAATATTTAAAGAATACACATGTTTGATCCTGGAAATTCAAACGGTGCCTGAATGCAGCATTTTGAATGTACAAGAGGTTCAGTGTCTCACAGTCGGACTCAGAGAAGTTTCTCTGCATGTGGAAGAAGCTTCCTTGTGCTGGGGAACAGAGATGTTCACTAACTAGCAGGTGTTCAGGGCAGCTTAATTAATTAGATTTAGGGACGTCACCATACCAGAAACTTAACTTCCAGTACCAGTGAAATTCCTTGATTCCTGATCCCCACTTCAACACCAGGGTAAGAAACAAAAACAAAACAATAAATCTCACATACTAAAATCTAAATTAAATGTATTGTGCTGACATGTATGGACGGCTTTTTCCATCGGTGTCTGACACCAGAAGTCACTGACCAAGTGCCAGATGTCAACTTTGGAGTGAGACTGGGCTGAAACCTTCGTAGCTGTATGACTCCACCTGCTCAGTAAAGTAGCACCTACAGTTTACATCCATGTCTTCGAAAACATGGATGTTTCACCCACATATCAATTCAGTATCTGTCCAAATGTCCTCCCTCCTGTTACTGAGATATGAAGTTGAACAACGACCAGAAACTGTTTTTGCGGAATATTATGATGTCACAGTGAAGTTGACCTTTGACCTTTTGGATATAAAATCTCATCATTTTATCCTGTTAAACATTTGTGTGAAATTTTGTCATAATTGGCGTGTTGATTCTTGCGTAATGGCCAAAAACATGTTTTGTGAAGTCACAGTGACCTTTGACCTTCAACCACCAAATTCTAATCAGCTCATTCTTGATTCCAAGTGGACGTTTGTCCTGAATTTGTGGAAAAACCCTCAAGGTGTTGTTGATATACCATGTTCACAAGAATGAGACAGATGCAAGGTCACACCGACCTTGACCTTTGGCAACCAAAATCAAAACTGTTCATTGTTGAGTCCAAGTGAATGTTTGTGCCAAATTTGAAAAATATCCCTCGAGGTGTTCTTGAGAACAGGACGGACATATGGACAACCTGGAAACATAATGCCTCTGGCCGTGGCTATTACGAGCGTGGAGCCTGGTGGTTGTGGTGATGGTCATTTTAGGGCTGGTAAAACAAAAACAGTGCCTACTCTTTAAAAAGGCCAGTCTAACTTCGAGGAAAGTCTCTTGAGATATAATGTGAATGAGAATGAGACAGATGAGGTCACAGTGACCTTGACCTTTGCCCATCAAAATCTAATCAGTTCATCTTGAGTCCAAGTGGACATTTGTGCCAAATTTACAGAAATTCACTGGAGGGAGTCTTGAGATATTGTGCCCCACAAGAACAGGACAGATGGATGGGTAACCTTAATACATAAAAGTCATGAGTGGGGGAAAGGTGTCAGTGTCAGCGTGAGGGTACAAGAGAAACTGAGGCTCATCCTCGGAGTACTTCCTGCACAGTTCATGGAACTGGGGCCTGTATTCTGGGGATTTTGTTTCCTCTGAAACAGCCTGTTGTGATGACAACATTTTCTTTTCAGAAATTCTCACACAGCTGCTTCATTTGCACAAAACACAAGTTATTTAACAGCTTCTCACAAAAACAAAACCCTCACGAGTCTCTCCGTCAGACGCTTCATGAATGAACATCACTTCTGAGAGTGAGTGGAAAGTGAGCAGCGTGTACGGCCATGTGGCGACCTGAATGCTGCTGCTGCTGCTGCTGATGATGAAGAAGATGACGATGATGAAGAGACTGACTGAGGTGAGGAGGCTCGACAGACAGCTTCATCATGGCTGCTGGCATTTCAATTACACATCACTTACAGGGTAAATGTAATTCCTTCTCGACATGTTTCTGTTTTCACGTCTCTCTCTCTCTCCCTCTCTCTATCTCTCTCTCGCAGGCATCCGTCTGTTTCAATTAGATTTGTAAATTAGATAAAAGGCAAACTAATTACAGAGGTTAGTGGTGATGGGATGATTCAGGGGAAACCAGCCTGGCTGTGGCGTCTCACACGGCTGAATATATTTACATTAATATAGTTTTTTTCATTAGTTCTGTTGTTTATCAGTAACATCAGTCTGTCAGATTAATAATGATGTTTCCTCACAACACAGATTCTGACTGAGTCGTAAAACCACGACAGAGAGCTGCTGAAACATTCATTAATTCATCCCGCGTCCATCCGTTCTTTACTTTATATTGAAATCTTTTGTTTATCATCATGTTTAGGGAAGTGATTTCCATAAAAGAGAACCAACAGCACGACACAAGGAAAAAATGAAACTACAGCACAATCAGGAGGAAAGTGACATAAATCATCCAAACAGCCAATCAAATGTCCACCAGCACATCATTTATCTTGTCCGACATTTTAGATTTATTATTCAGACTGAAACACTGACAACGAGTACAGTGTAACACCCACTCTCCACTCAGGTGTTTTATTATTAAAGAACAACAACTTTGAGTCAGACACGTGTTAGTGATCTGCATGTCAACAGTGAGTCTTACGGCTCAGCTGTGAACTGCCGATTAAAGTCAAAAAACTGAACATACCACTACATACATACAATTTGAGCCAGTTTAAGAAATGTCATTAAATTCCAACTCCCGTTCAGGTAAACTGTCTGTGATCAAAGCCAGAGCTCATGTGCTCACACTATACAGTCAGACTGTCAAGCCACAACCTGAGCGCTCTGAAAGTGTAGATAAAACGGCCCGTGGCTCCGGTGGACCGTTCTGGCTATTGGCAATTGTTAAAAAGATTTCCGAGGCAGGTTGAAGCTTGTTTGCTGGCAGCGGTCTGTAACGTTACACCAGAATGATTCACAATAAAGCGTCATCGCCAACATTTCTCTCGTTCATATCCGTCATGATGGGAGGGCGAGTATTTCAAAGGATATCAATATCAAAGAGGCACATATGTTGTAGCCACAGCTCCACCAGCCTGGCCTCCATATTTACCCTTCACATGTTCTATTGTGTCGTCATGGCACTCTGTTTGCCACTTTGTGCAGGCGCAGTGGAAAAACTAGAAATACCACTTTGTGGTTGTATGACTCCGCCCACCAGTCCAGTGTCTCTGACAGTCTCCATCCATGTCAGTGAAAACATGGATGCTTCACACACAGAAGATCTATACAATCAGCACAGATTCAAGATTAGAGTCACCAATTCAGTATCTGACCAAATGTCTCCCCTTCTGTTCCTGAGATATGACGTTAAAACATTATGATGTCATAGTGAAGTTGACCTTTGACCTTTTGAATATGAAATGTCATCACATTCTATTATTTTATTCTATTGGACATTTGTGTGAGATTTTGTCACTTAGTGTATGAATTCTTAAGTTATGACCAAAAACATGAGGTCACAGTGACCTTTGACCACCAAATTCTATTCAGTTCATTCTAGGGTCC